TATGAATTTGTTTACAATTACTTATACTTAGCCAATTTACGAGAAAACTGGGAAGAAGTGAAGAAAAATGCACAAAAAGCTCCTCAACCTGAAGTTCGGCGGTATGTCCTCCCCCTAAATATTGAGAAGGTAAAAGTTAAATATTATATATTGGAAAGAAGACCAATATTTTGCACATGTAATGTGTATAGATATTCACAAGCAAGGACTTCATGGAGAATGCAATGCACATTGGGCTGGTTGGGGGTGAGTTAATGTTCAGATGTTACACTTATTTGGAACATTATCTTCAAGTGCAATATTTTATATTTTCCCAAAGGACAAGAGGCATTTACTTATACTGTACAGGAATAATAAAAAAAGATGCTTTGGGAGAACACTATTGAAGTAGCATTTCAGTTTCCCCTCTTAAAATCAAGACTAAAAAAAATAGATTCTGAGATCTTTTACTTACATTGTTGGAAGAAGGTGGAATGTTGAAAAATGTTGAACAGCATAGAATGGATGTTTTTTCTTACTTTCTTTTGGGGGGGGGAATATTCTAGGCTGATACAGGAAAAAATCTAATCACATTGCCTAATACAACAGCAACAGCAATTCTGCACAGTGATGATACCATCTGGCTGGATCCAGAAGTTATTTTTTCAGGGCCACGACAAGGTAAGACTAATCTTAGCAAAAAGCAACAAGAACATCCTAGCAAATACAAGGAACCAACTAAATGTGTTTGTTTTGCCTTATAGCTTTTGAGTTTCCACAAATAAACTATGCAAAATATTCCGGGAAACCTTATACATATGTATATGGTCTTGGATTGAATCATTTTGTGCCAGACAGAGTAAGTATTACGTATTAATAGACTAAATTTGTTTTTGCAAAAAGGCAAAGAAAAGTGCAATTCCAAATACTTTCACATGGCTCGTGCCAGCAGTGATAGGAATATACAAGATAGCAAAGCTGAATGCATCGTCTTTGACAGCTTTTTTTGCTGTTCAGGTTCCTACTGGACTTACTTTCAATTCCAGTTTAACAGAAAAAAAAAGATTATTGGAAAGAGGAACATTTTCCATGGGATGCTGAGAGAGAGTTATACATACTTTGCAAAGCCAACTCTGGATGCCTATATTTATTATAGGAATAAACACACCCACAAGTGTTTAGTCCATAGGTAGCAACTATATAAAAAGGCTTTCTTCCAAGGTCACAGTATACTGACAGCAGTCCCAGCTCCAATGACTTTATCCTTAAAGAGGCATGTGGGTATAGATACCATAATGTGAACAGACTGAGTTTCACATAAAGCCTTGCTCTTTAATAGACTTCCATTCAAACAGCATTGCTCAGTTCAGCCCAGCCCAACCTGCTCCTGCACTCAAACTATCAAGAAAATACAATGTATTTGCCCAAATGAACAGATGCAAATGTTTCATGCTTCGATAAAAAGAGACTTTATGCCTTCTGAGACTTGCATTAAAATTCACCCCTGAGCTTGCTGTACAAAAGCCTTTAAACATCTAGCCAATTCTGACCTGCCTGTTTTGTGTACTGGGCCAAATCTGGCCTATACTTGTAGAAAGTATAGTACTTATTCTTTTTAGATGCTAGAATAATACATATTCTACAAAAGATTATGAGACTTTTGTAAGGCTGAATTTTCACTTTCAATATAGAGCAATCAAATCAAAGTGACATCTCCCCATCACTTTATTATATTGTTGTGGTTCCATCCTATACCTTATTTCAATTCAATTTAGTTCAATTCAATTCATAAGCTGCCTAACTCAATTGTGACTCAGGGTGACATACAATATACAAAATTTAAATTTTTATTTTAAAATAAAACAATATTTTGTTTTACACACAGCATACAATATACAAAATTTAAATTTTTATTTTAAAATAAAACAATATTTTGTTTTACACACAGCATACAATATACAAAATTTAAATTTTTATTTTAAAATAAAACAATATTTTGTTTTACACACAGTACAATACAAAAATAATGTCTAGAGAAACTGACCATAATCTCAGATCAGACAACCCACAAGGGGCTGGCCATTCTCTCTAGGCCAAGTCCTGGGAAAAGAGCCAGGTCTTAGGGGCTCATCTAAATAAGATCAGGTTGAGGTTCATAAGAATATCTGGGGTGATGCCATTCCAGAGGGCAGACACTGCAACAGAGAAGGTGGCATTGCTTCATGCCAATTCTGCCAGATCATATAGGGTCATAGCAGCAACTATGGAACATAGGTGGTCCCTCAAGTAACCAGGCCCTATGCCACGAAGGACTTCATAGATGATAACCAGCACCTTGAATTGCATCTGGAAGCCTGCTAGTGATCAGTGCAGAGCCTGGAACAGAGGTGTTACATGGGCATACCAAGGCAAGGCCACCTGCAGCTTCCAGGTGGTCTTCAAGGACAGCCCCAGGTAGAGTGTATTGCAATAGTCCAAACATGAGGTAATCAAAACATGAGCAACTGTCTTAAGAGCCTCTCAGTCCAGATATGGGCACAACTGGTGCATTAAATGAATCTGTGCAAAGGCCCATGTGGCCACAGCTGCCATCTGCTCAAGCAGGAACTGTGAATCCAAGAAGACCCCTAAGTGGTGCACCAGTCCCAAAGGGCATAATGCAATCCCATTCAGAAATAAGGGTGGAACATTTCCAGATCTGGGTGGGCCAAATACCCATGGCCACTCGGTCTCAGTGGGCCTGTCAGAGTTAAACTTCAATCTTTACATTTTTAAATGCAGTTCATTTAAATGCACTTTAACAGCAAGACACAAGAGAATGCATAGGAGACCAAAGTTTAACAATCCAACCTTAGCAGGATTACCAACACATATGTAAAGTACAATAATGTATGTGCACGCATACCTTTGCATTACCTGTGCAAAGGTAATAAACCACAAAATACGCAACCTACACATCTATCCACTTAAATCCTAACTTCTCCATAGCAATTTTTTTTAAAAAACCTGTAATTTATCAAGCGTACAGCTCTGAATGGTCTTCTCTTTGACTATATGCTTAACTGCTTCTTTCAACACTCCACTTCCATTCATCTCATCAATTCTAAACCAATAACAACAGGAATATGACTAGTCCCTGCTACTGTACCAGCTACTCTGAAAAACTTTGAAAAAACTCAACCCAATCATAAGCCAGAAAATAACAGCCCAATCAGAGTGCTTAGAAAATCTGAAATGCTGTCACTTAAAAGATCCACATTTTGTTTTGATTTTTTAATAAAACTCTTGAAATACTTATTTTATTTCATGTTCAAAACACTCAAAATTGCCATTTTAAGATTGGAAGGTTTAGAGTTCAGAATGATTTGCGCATCCTAGTAGTTGACACATTTGACTGTTTTACCAGCCTTTATAGCCTAATGCTTTTTTTTTTTTTTATGAAAATCTTTTATCTTTTTCCAGCTTTGCAAAATGAATGTGAAAACTAGAGAGACATGGGTGTGGCAAGAACCAGATGCATATCCCTCTGAACCAATCTTTGTTTCTCACCCAGAAGCTATGGAGGAGGATGATGGTAACGTTATAACATTTTTACTGAAGTTTAGAAAAATTCTCTGTCCAAATTTGGCTCTATAAATATGAAAAGAATCGGCAAAAAACTTGGTTTATACCCACCAAATATTCCCTGGTGGAATAATGGAAAAATTATTGTGGTCCTGAATCATTGTATTTTCAGATTTGAACAAATCTTTCTGCTGAAGCTTTTGTGCTTCTTTGCTTATGTAATTTGCATTTATTTTTGGTACAGGTATTGTCCTGAGCATAGTCATCAACCCTGGCAGTGGACCAAAACCTGCCTACCTTTTGATCTTGAATGCAAAGAATATGAGTGAAGTTGCCAGGGCAGAAGTGGACATAAATATTCCAGTTACTTTCCATGGTCTCTTCAATAGAGCATGATGTCTGTCTTCAATACATTTAAATCTTTCTTTTTAATCCAATGTGTACAAAACAACATAAAGCATCCTTCTAATTATCTGCCAGTGATTTGCAAAATTAGTTTAACATTAAGAACTTCCTACACTGAGGCCCAATTTAAATATTTTAATACTTAAGGAAGTGTCCATTTTTAAGAATGCTTTTGCGATTGTAATGTACTGTAAATAAAATAAGGGTAAGCAAAAGTAATTAGTAGATGCTGATTAACAGCATCAGCATTTTAGTCTCAGTAAACTTCAGATGAATATTTAAAATTTAAAATGGTTAAAATTATTTGGTGATGGAACATGGGAGAAACACAGCAAATAACCTTGAACGCTGGTAGATTAAGTAGTGAGCGATGAGAAATAGGTATTCAGCAAATAATTGTTTTGGAACCAGCTGAGATTCCTATCTTTGCTTATATTTTAATATTTGAAGATAACAATTTATTTTTTAAAAAATTAGAATGAAATAATTTGCATTTTTGCCACTTATCAGGGAAAAGGGTATTTTGAATTTGATCTCTCTGATAATTTAAACATCTTTATTTTACAAATGATTGTCTAATACACACTATATAAAATGTGAACATTTACTTTTAAAAAAATATTCAGTCCCTCCATATCTTCGACTGAAGATAGCCCGTCCCTATCTTCAGATTTGAATATCTATATAGTCAGAGTTTATTTTGTATGAACTCTGAGAACTGAAAACCTTTACAGCTAGAAGCAGGGTTTTTACATCAGTTGGCTAAAGGATGTGAGAAGATCCCCTTAAAAAATGTACTGCTGTACTCTAGCAAATACACTTTGAACTTCTGGCTTAACTGGTTAATCTATTGTGGGGGTGAATTGCTGAATGCTAGTCTTTGGAATTTTGGGATTTTTTTCAAAGCTGAAAACATTTAGTGTAAGCTGCTTTAAATCTTGGAGACTTTAAAAAAAAACTTAATTTCTTGGTTATATAAATGCTATATAATAGTGTCCTAACAATAGAATTACACTGGGAAGTAAAAAGTACATCTTGAAAGAAGGCAGTGGCTTTTCTTCTCCACTGTTGCCAAAAACACATACGGACGTGTCACTGTGATCACAGGAGTCAGGGTTGACTTGAGAGCGTCTGTACTTTTACCTACAGCATACAGACAAGAAAAACACATGACTGAAGACTGACATATAAACATTTGTTAAATCCAAGTACTTTTCATACAATGATGTCATAACGATATTTTACTGACAACTTTAATATATTATTATCTGACATCAACCCAATCAGATGCTCATTTATAGGCAAGCTTTCTTGCTTACATTCTTAAGACAGGAAGAGAAGACTGTTGCAAGGATGCTATCTGGTAACTTTGTTGCTTCATAATTCTTAAGCATTGCCCGATAACCTGCCAAAAGGTAAAAATTAACATCAGTGATAACAAGTTGAATTCAGATCAGGAGAGAAAAGGTAGAATAATACAGAGGTTTCCATGTGCATTTATCAAAACCACATGCCAGTGAGATAGAATGGATATCTCAGGAAAGGGACAATTTAGGACATGTTGAAATTAGTAAAAAAAATGCTGTATTTTAATCACAGATTGTCTTATGTATTTTCAATTATTACATGTTTATATGAAAAGAGTGTACACATTTCTCAGTATTCAATAATAGTAGCACAAACATTAGAAACATGAAATTGGATCCACGATAATTAATTACTTGGATGATACAGAAGTGTATGTTTGCTATTATTGATAAAGAAAAATGCATTTATTCAATATTTTTTTCAAATAGGAACCAAATCAATATTAAACATTGACAGAGACTCAATTTTAAGTTCATATGAAACCAAGATAATCCTGTGATTTAAAAATCCTATTGATGTCTCAAAGAATCTTTATCCCAAAATTCAGGTATCTGAAACAACTGTTGGATTATCCAAACATAACTGTCCTGGACAATTTTATCTAGAGTTTTTACATTCCTGATAACTGCATTAATTCTCTGAAACTCTTTCATGTTTCTCATTATGACACCAAAAGCATGAGCCACATTTTCTTCCTGGGAAAATATCCACTACATTTTAATACTGCATACACAAATGACAACTATCTTCTGAAAATATTACACTACAAAACTGTAGTGCATTTAACTGCATTAAATGTAGATGCAGGGACAATCATTTTAAATAACCTTTTAATACAGAGGAATGATTTGTATACTTTTGGATAATGTATTGACAAAAATAGCCTTGGTAAACTATGCCCCCGTCATTCCTTAAAAGTCATGGTCCTAAGTAGATGTAAAGAATAAACTGGCAATAAAAAAATTAAGAAATGCTATGTGCGGGGAAGCAACATTAAATACTGCATTGTGTCATGTCAAGAAACTCGATAGCTTACTGTTAGAGCAACAGCAACAAAAAACTAGCAATTGGTTCACTTGTCCTAATTTCCCTTTCTCAAAGAACAAACATATTCATGGAGTATACAATCAATAACTGCTCAGAATCAGTTCTGTTTGATTATCCTGGTATTTTTACAAATCAGGCAACCGAAGTTACAATTCTATGTACTTCCTGAAAGAAAACACAATTTTGAACAGAATGGTGACTATCTCTAAATAAATACATAAAGGCTCAGTCTCTTATGTGGGAAAATATAAGGATTTTTTTTAAAGTAATGATTAGAAGTTAATCCTCAATATTTGATTAGATATCACAAACCTCATTATGCATCAATGTTTTTCATTTGTTACCCACTACAGTCAAATGATTCTCGACAGCTTACTATATCACCCAATACATTAAATGGCAAAATAGTGCTTCCTACAGTATTGGGTAAGTTGGCCTTGAACATATTTTTTTCAGTAGGCATACCTGGCATAATCTGTTTTAATGCAATCTTTTAACTTGTATAAACTGACCAGTGCCTGTCGTTCAGCTCTTGGCTTATTGTTTAGGTGAGTTCAGCCATTAGTTAATCTTCTCACTTGCAGACTAGATTTCTGGCATCACAAATGGAGAGGATAATGAAGTGCTAAAATGCTGCATTAGTCAAAAGCAAGTAAAGGGATAACCAGACACTTCTTTACAGGTATCCGGTCCCCCACAATTAGGACCGGAATTTCCGTCACTAAACAATGCAGTCATCGTAAAGTGAGACATCACATGACTGCACCACTTAGTGACAGCAATCCCGGCATTCCCCATTGCCATCGTTAAGCAAATTCCATCAGTTGTTAGCCGAGGACCCACCCCAATCCAAGCCATTCTGGGCTTGGTCCCTCAGTAAGGTAAGGGACTGTCTCCAACTCCCCGCACCCACCTATCTCCTCCCCCAATCTCTGCCCTTTTGACTGCCCTGCACCCTGCCTTGCGGGGTGGCAAGCAGCCCCAGAACCACGCAGCTCTGGGGCTGTAAAAAGCCCCTGAGTTGCAGTGCAGCATGAAGTGGCCCCTGGAAGCATCAGCCACCCCAGCCACCCCCCCCCCTGCAACCCCCAGCAGCCAGGAAGCACCAGCAAGCATCAGCTAGCATTTGTTTGCATAGCTGCTTTTTCTTCCAGTTCCCTGCACCAACTTTTTGCCTTTTCCACCCAACCACAGTGGCCAGGAAGCACCAGCAAGTGACAGCAAGCATTCGTTTGCTCAGCTGCCTTTGCTGTCTCTTTTTCAGACCCAGCTTCTCCTGCGAACATTTCCTCCATGTGGCTCCCTGTGCCTTCGGAGAGCTGTAAGATTTGTTTGGGAGCAAACATACTTAGAACTGTGTTAAAACCCAGCATCTTGTTCTTTATTGTAAGACAATGTAGTCTTGAATAATTCCATCTAAGATAACTGGTGGGATTAACAAACTACAATGACAGAGGTGATTTTAAAAGGAAAAATAAACTGCAAGAAAAAAATAATAAATGAGTTTTTGGGAATAAATAAACAAAAAGAAAGAAAGGTTCTGAACACATATTTAGTGCATACCTTCCTTGAACTCTGGGGCAGGATTACTCCATCATCCCAGATCCTGGCAGAAGAGTAAAATGCACTACTTTCTTTTTGCAGCCTGGAAATATAAGAATTTATTTTTTAAGAGACACATATCTGTATCAACAGAGGTGAATATGTATAGCTCAGACTTGATATCTGTATCTTCAGGTATATATAAATGAAGACTCTGTATAGTCTTTATGTGCTTAATGAACAAATGACAACATACTACAGTTGTACCTCAGGATACGAACGCCTCTACTAACGAACTTTTCGGGTTACAACCAGCTCCGGCCGCAAAAATTTACCTCGATGTGCGAACTCCGCCTCGGGGTACGGCCATTTTTCCGCCCTGACACGTGGTCCGCGGTCATTTTCCCACCACGCAGCGTGGCGCCTGGCCGTTCTCCCGCCGCGCGGCGCCCGGCCGTTCTCCTGCCACGCTGCGCGGCGCCCGGCCGTTCT